TGCCCTGAAGGAGCTGCAGGAAACGTGGAGAGGGACTCTGTACAAGGGATGGAGGGACAGGACACAGGGAATGGCTCCCAGTGCCAGAGGGCAGGGCTGGATGGGATATTGGGAATGAGGAGTTGTTCCCTGGCAGGGTGGGCAGGCCCTGGCACAGCTGTGGCTGCCCCTGCATCCCTGGCAGTGCCCAAGGCCAGGCTGGACATTTGGAGCAGCCTGGGACAGTGACACCTGGGAAATGCCAGCCTGGGAAGCTCCTCCTGCACCTCCTGCCTCTATTGCTGGCTCCTCATTTCCTCCAGTGGCTGGTGACAGCGAGACCGCCGCATATCACCCATAATTTCACTTTCTCCAGGAAATACCTGGGTAAAAGGGCAGTAGTTCAGGTTGCTGACTCCAGTTTGACACCAGACAGTGCACCGAGTGCTGAGGGCTGTTTGTACTCTATTTTCAGGCTGTTTCCTGCTCGCTAAATCCCCAGCGCAGGCAGGTCTCACTTGGCTTTAATTGAGTGTGAGGTGTGCCCTCAGGGGGTTAATGTCACCCCGAGGGCGGGCACGGCAGCAGGACAAAGCCGGGACAGCCCCTGATGTCCTGCTGGTGTCGCCAAAAGCCCGGCTCTGGCCGGAGCTGCCCTTCCCTGCTGCCCAGAACTGCTCGGGGGCTGGCTGGAGAGGCACAAGGAGTCATTTCTGATTGCTCCTGGGGGGAAATTTCTGCAGCTGGAGTGCAATTCCCGCTTCTTCAGGAGCTCTCCCACATTTTCCACTCTTGCTGCTGCTGTGGAAATCCTTATCAAAGCACAAACCCTCTGGCAGCTCCCTCCACAGGCTGAGGGTTTGGGACGTGGCTGCTTCCATCCCATGGCTCCAGAGGCTTGGTCCAGCCCTCAGCACCTGATCCTGCCTCTCTGAAGGGGGAAGAGCCCAATTCCTCTCGCACAGCTCCAGGCACAGCATGGCCCAGGCTGAGCCAGCCTCCAGCAAAGCTCCCCCCAAAAACCACCAAGCGAGAGCTGCTTACACATATAAATATTTATTTGTACTAAAAGTGAGTGTTTCATAGAGTATCGAGTTCAGAATATATTAAATCATGAGATGCATCAGCTGAGGTACAAATTCCAGTCTCATGTCTTTAATAAATAGACTATAAACCCCCCAGTCCTCGTGCTTCAATCAGAGGTAATCAGGACACTACTCTGGTTTAAAATGATAACACAACATCTGTGTTCTGCTGTGACCACCTGGATTCACTGGGGGGACAGGATTGTTTCATGATGAGCAGCAACAGTGCTGTTTCACTCCTTAGAAATCCTAAATGGGAATGTCACTTTTGGGAATGTCACTTTTGGGGCCTGGCTGGGTGAGGCTGGTGCTGGTGCTCTGGCAGCTCCCACCGAGGCTGCAGCATTTGCCTTGGGGGAAAACACAGGTTTCCTCCAAATGCTTAAAAAAAGACTTAAAAAGCCTTTTTTCAAGGATATTTTCCAGTTACAGATGAAAGTTTGGGCAGTGTGCCCTGGCCACAGCAGAGCAGGTTGTAGCTCATGGTACTGAGCAAGAGCAGGATGGTTTTGCTGAGCGTGGATCCAGCTGGAACTCAAACAGGAGCACAAGAAGAGAGGAACGCTGATTGTCCTTCCTTGGGGACATCCCGAGGGCTCTGGGGGCCGCTGCTGAACCCGGGGCCAGGTGCACAAACCCCGCAGTGAGGCTGCAAGGAGCGAGGGCTGCTCGTCCTGCTCGGCTGCCACCGCACAGCGGGGCGGGACCAGCCCCGTCCCCGGCTCCCGCAGTGCCCCACGCTGTCCTGTCGCTGTTTGTCGCTGCTCTGTCACCTCGGCGGCTCCTGCGAGCCAGCGGGAAAGCCTCGGGCGGGGCACTGCCGATGTCCGTGCCGGGTGAGGGTGGGGAAGGCGACAATGACCACGGGGACTCTCCAAGCCAGGCTGGGGCAGCAGCGGGCTCTGGGCTCAGCAGCACACAGGGCTGGGGACAAGGGCTTGCTGCCACCCTCGGGCTGTCCCCATGCGCAGACACGGAATAAATCAGGTCACCTGCACCCACAGCGGTGTGGATGAGGCTGCAGCCTCTCTCAGCCGGTTCTCAGACCCTCCCGGTGCTGTGACTTTGCTGTTTTGTCCCGGATTTGCCTTTGGGGCAGAGGGAAGGGGGAGCCCACGCTGCCACCTGGGAGCACAGTGCCAGCATCCCTGACTTCTCCTCGCTGTGCAGAGCTTTCTCAGGGATCTCAGGGTTTGTGGTGCCTCCCAGGAGAGGGCTGTGAGTGCAGGGATGGGTTCCTGTGCCAGGGATAACATGGCACATCCTCACAGGCTCCTGAACGTGGAGCAACAGGAATGCTCAGCCCAGAGGTCAAGCAGGAGGAAGGAAGGCAGGAAGGAAGCAGTGAGGAGTTGGCTCAGCCACAAGGAACTGGAGGTGGTCACAGCTGATCTTAAAAAAAGTCCTTTTTTACAAAAAGAGGCATTAAAAAGATTCTGCTGTTAATTAGCAAAAACTGTCTAAGGCACAACGAGGAAAGGCACTTCTTCATTTACCCTGGTCCCCTCTGCACTGGCAGCACCGTGGCACATCCTGGTGCCAGCTGGGAACAAAGGGCCCTCTGCCCATCCCTTCCACTCCATGGGGACACTCCCAGCAGCTCCAGGGCAGAAGGATCAGGCTGAAAGTATTTCTGATTGGTAAAACACGCTCTGACCCAGGTGGGAGAACCCCAGGGTCATGGCAAGTGATCTGTGTGACAGGGAATCAATGGATCATTGCTCACTATTAATACAGGCTTTTCTAGGGAGGAGGAGGAGGAGTTAATTCTTCTTCTCCAGGGACTGGTAGTAGGTGGTGAGGACTTTCCAGGCTTTGGGGGCCATGAAGCCATCGGGGGGGTTTTCCCCTTCCCGAGCCAGCTTCCTCATGCGTGTTCCTGAGATGAAGTCAAAGTCATCGTGCCTGTGTGAGACAGAGACGGGTGACATCAGCACTGCTGGCCCACGCCACCAGGACACTGCCTGGAAAACCCTCTTTGCCCAGGATTTTCTCCTGAGAAGCTGAGAAACCCCAGAAAAGAACGAAAACAATAATTATCTGATTACTTTGAAATGTGGCCTGGACATTGTTTACCAACAGGTGAATGTTTGATCGGGTCCATGTGAATTGTTATTAATTAATGGCCAATCACAGCCAGCTGTGTCAGACTCTGAGGAGTCAATCACCAGCTTTCTTGTTAAGCCTCCTGATGTATCTTTTCTTTTTCTATAGTATAGTTTTAGTATAGCATTGATATGACTATAATATAATGTAATATTATATATTAACTAAATAATATATAATATTATATATTATATATATGAGATATATATATAATATTAACTAAAAACAATTTACATGGAATGAATCAAACATTCACCTGTTGGTAAACAATGTCCAGACCACATTCCAAATAATGTAATGTAATATAATGTAATATAATGTAATATAATGTAATGCAATGTAATGTAATGTAATATAATGTAATGTAATATAATATAATGTAATGTAATATAAGGTAATGTAATATAATATTATGTAATATAATGCAATGTAATGTAACATAATGTAATGTAATATAATGTAATGTAACATAATGTAATGTAATATAATGTAATGTAATATAATGTAATGTAATATAATGTAATGTAATGTAATATAATATATAACAGTAATTTAAAACAATTCACATAGAAACAATTAAACATTCATATGTTGGTAAACAATGTCCAGACCACATTCCAAATATATATCATATCAATCATATCATATCATATCATATCATATCATAATAACTCAGCCTTCTGAGCACTGGGAGTCAGATTCTCATCCCTTCCCTCCCCCTGGGGACCCCCCCAAACCCCACAGGCCCAATTTCCCCCCAGGGCTCCTCATCCCAGAGGAGCTGCAGTGCCCACAACCCTTCCCATCCTTCCTATGTGCTCTGAGCCCCCAGCCTGTGGTGGCACCTTTAGTTCCATGTGACACCTGTGGCGGAACACACAGGTGCCTTTCCCAGGTTCTGCCCCGTTCCTATCCCTGGGGACTTTTCCCCGTCCCCAGAAAGCCGCGCCCCCACGCTGTGAAGAAGCCAGGGCCGCCTTTACCTTTTGGGGTCGTAGAAGTCCATGGCTCTCTTGCTCTTGCTGTAGGCAGCCACTCGGAAGGGCAGGATCTCCACGGAGGTGAGCCCGGGGGCCATGCTCAGCACCTTCCCGCCGTG